TGGAAGGGACTCACCTCGAAGATATGTATTGTGTGAACTGTTGATGAAGTAGTGTGACAGGGGCTTGTGCATATCCTCTTCCTTGAGCATCATATGATCGGCATGCATAGCAATGTTATAAGGGCTTAACAGGAATCGCAGGAACGCATGCTTTGTGAGCCGTTCACCTATAATTCGAAAATCTTTTGCGTCTCCTAGTGCTGCAGCTGTAATACTACGAAATGAAAAAACGAAATCCAGTTACTTCTCCCAAGTTCATTAATCAATGACTGCGCGATTTCTGGCGTTGGCGCGGGATACAGAAGCTCGTTAAGTCGAGGATCATAATGCTCATCCTTGAGATATTTCGCGAAACTCTCTGCCTTCACTTCTTTCGCTTCAAACCTTCAATATTTATGAATTTTCAAACACAGCATGCTTCCAGGACTTTTGGAGTTGTGCTTTTTGTGAACGCTGTTTAAAGCAAAAAATTAGCTATGGCTTTGGAAAAATCGGTTACCCCCTTAAAATGAATCCTTTTTTGACTCATATATGACGCTTCCGATTTTTATTCTTCTCTACAGAGAACTTCAGCTGCAGAAATGCTTATTAAATCTCATATCCACTTTCCTGCTTCGAGCAATTTTTTGTGCTTTTCTTCCTGCCCACTCATCAGACATGTTAGTGAGGTAAATCTGGAACAAAGTTCAAAACGGACTTCTCGCTGAATATGTAGTCCACGTCTGATCGCTCACAAATGCAGCAGTAGCAGGAAAATATGAAATTATCGCTTATTTCGTGCATCATAACTGTTTCCTGAATCAGTTACAACCGGTCAGGATCGCTCATCATCAGCGGCAATAAAAAAAAAAATTTGCTATTTTTGACTGTAAGGCTACCTTCGCGTTTGACAGTAGTGAGGCTTTAGACCCAGGGGATTTAGGAGCATAATCTCTTCTCTTATCCTCTGTTATTTTTAATTTTTACAATTTACATTACCTTATCCGCGAATGCTGGTAGCGTTTTCAGAGCTCTTTCCACATCCTTTCGATCTTCCTTATTTTTTGCCGGCAGCAGTGAATCCAATATTCTGCAACAATCTATCCAGATAAAAATGCATTAAGAGCTAGTAAAAAACAAGGTTGTTGTAATTGGTTTTGAAGACCAATCCTAGATAAATGGATTTTCTATATCCGAATCTGCATTATTTTTCCATTTTTTTTTTTTTTTGATTTTTAGACCTACACTGATAATATTTCGCATACTGCCGAAACATCGATTTTACGACGTAACGTTGTAGTGTGAAGGCTTACGTAATTATGTTATTCATGGTGATCTGCTTCAGTTTCTTGTCATTTAGTTTTTATCATAACTTTTTGTTCGATTTAGTAATCATCATGAGGTGCGAGGAGAAATCATTCATTTTTTGTTTTAATTGTTGTAATTTATTATTGCGATCTTCTTTCTCTTACTCCGTAAAGTATATGAAATCATCAAAATTTGGGAATGGCAACATTCAGTACAAACTTGGTGATGCTCGGTACGCACTAAAAACTTTTCTAATCAACCAAAGCCTTTCCAAAACGAATGTTTTGGGAGAAACGCTGAAATGGAACTTCTTCAAGAGATGAAAGGAACGCTAGGCTTACCGGGAGTGGTTAAAAGAACTGTCAAGGTTACTAGCCTTATAGATAAAAAACGAGCTTACGAATGAGAGCTAATCAAAATATCAAGTAATGCCCTGTTTCTTCTAAAGCTTACAATCACTGTGCCTTCATTTTGCTACAGTTTTATATTACTAGCAAAACCGTTTTTACAAGCAAGCTGATTTATTTATATGTGTGGACTGCCAAGATTTCTTTGATGTTAGCAGGCGAAGTGTTGCAGCAAACTCTGAGCTGAT